TGGTTAAGCGTCTGACTCTTGGTTTCAGCTCAGGTCATGATCTCAAGGTGTATGGGTTCAAGCCCTGTGTTGGGCTCTGTGTTGGCACTGTTGAGCCTGTTTGGGATTCCCTCTCTCTCTCTCTCTCTCTCTCTCTTTCTTTCTCCTTTCTCTCTGCCCCTCCCCCATTTTCTTTTGTGAATGCCATTAGAACAAAGCTTTACAATAAAAGTAAAGTCTGGAGGGCTTGGGTGGCTCAGTCTGTTAGGTGTCCAACTTCGACTCAGTTCATGATCTCATGGTTCATGAGTTTGAGCCCCACATTGAGCTCTGTGCTGACAGCTCAGAGCCTGGAACCTGCTTGGATTCTGTGTCTCCCTCTCTCTCTACCCCTCCCTGCTTGTGCTCTGTCTCTCAAAAATAAATAAATATTAAATGATTTTTTCATAAAATAAAATCCTAGAGCCAGAGAGGGCCCTGAAGAGGTTATACTGTAAAGACTTGTGCTGAAAGCATAAGGCATTAGGGACATGTCTTTCTCTACTTTATTCTTTTAAAAGAAAAAACTCAATGTGGGTTTCACAGAATACCTACAGTTAACTCCCCTTTTCCTGGTAATGGAAATGCTTTGAAGAAATGTTTAAGAGTCTATAGTGAGAAAGAAGAAAAGCGAATGACTTCATATCTGAATCTTTTTTAAAAAGTCCCTGTTTCTTGCATTATCAGTATCTCCCCAACCCCAACCCTTTCAAAAGAAAAGAGAATTAATATGTGTATGGGTTCAAGCCCTGTGTTGGGCTCTGTGTTGGCACTGTTGAGCCTGTTTGGGATATTCTCTCTCTCTCTCTTTCTCCTCTCTCTCTGCCCCTCCCCCACTTGCTCTGTCTCAAAATAAATAAAGTTTAAAAAATGACATAATGGAGCTGATTTGCATAGATACATTTTAACACCTCTCTGAATAAAAGAGCATCTATCTGGGCCTTCTGTCTACTTAAGAAGCACTCCTTAATTTTTTCTCCTGACCTTTTAGAAAAATCTGCTCTTCTTAGTATGTCTACCTGTAAGCTTCTTTCATGTACATGAAACCAAAACCCTTTCACTATTTCCAACTCCATTTTGATAACCAAAGATTAGGCAAAGTTAGGCAATACAGTGGAAAAGAGCATGGGTCTGAAGTCAGACCACCAGGAGCTAGAACCAGGCTTTGCCACTTAGATGTTTTTTATGCCAATTTATTTCACCTGCCTGTATCTCTGTTTCTATTTCCTTAAAATAGGCTTTATAACAGTATTTCTCTCAGGGAGTTATGCTAAGTGAAAAACTGCACATATAGTGGCAAGTAGCACAAGATGAACGTTAATTATAATTAATGCCACCATATTGTCATCATCATATGTCCAAGCCTGCTGCTCGGTGCTGGGAGTTCAAAGTAGAGACCCTTGTCATTTGCAGGAGACAAGCATACAAAGAAGGAAATATAGAAAGGGCATCCCTACTTAAGCAAGGGAATGCCCCAAAGGCTTAGGGTCTGAAGGAGATGTGAAAGCCCAATGATGCCTTGGATGCCATATCACTGTGAATGACTCTGGCAAGTGACCAAGAAAATAAATGTTTAAAAGGAATCATGCTTGATTCAGGCATCAGAATTCTCATTTCCAGATCCTGGAAGCTCTAAAGGTCTAACTACAATGGCCTTTGCTACAGATCACAGAGGCAGAAGACACCTGCGAAACGCTTGGCACCAGCTGAATCCCAAGGTGTCACTGATCTCCCTATGCAAGTCCTCGAGCTAACAGTTACCCTAGGTTGAATGGATTCCAAATAATTGCCAGACAAGTGCTGAGCAATGCACTTTCTCTGTCTAGCAAGGGGCACTCATGCAAAGAAGGCATCTCTATCTTCCAGCCCAGTGTGGAGGTCCTATCATATTCTTGCCCTCTTTTGCGCTGTCACCCAAGGAGCACTGGTGTGTGAGCCTAGCCCACACACTCTTGCCCAAACCGCCTTGCTCTGCTCTGCTCTCACATTCTGCTATTTTTTAACCCTCCAAAATGGAGGTGACTTACTCTGTTGTTTTAAGGCCTTCAGCTTAAATCCAAATAAGTCAGCAACAGGGAACCTTTAGAGGAGTCTGGTATTTTGGCATTCCAAAGCAAAGGAGAACTTACTGTTTCAGGTCACAGAACACTGTACTTTTACTGATCAACTTTTTTTTTTTTTACACTTTACTAAAACGAAAAAAATATATAACCTTCACTGTCTACACTCCATATCATACTAAGAAATTTCAGGCTTTTTAATCATTTTTTTGTACAGTATGTCTTCTTTTTTGTTGTTGTTAAATGTTTATTTAATTATTTATTTTGAGAGAGAGGAAGAGGGGGAGAGCTAGAGATAGAGAGGCACAGACAAGAGAGTGGGGAAGAGGCAGAGAAAGAAAGGGAGAGAGAGAGAGAATCCAAAGCAGGCTCCATTCTGTCAGCACAGAGCCTGAAGCAGGGGTCCATCTCACAAAGTGTGAGATCACTACCTGAGCTGAAGTTAAGAGCTAGACACCTGACTGACCGAGACACCAAGGTGCATCCAGCATTTATTTCTGAGGAATTTAAATCATTCTAAGTGTCCTTTATCTTCTCAACAGCATGGTGAAGGTGGGCTTCCAGCTTCCCATCTCCTGACCCTCCAACTGATAATAAGCATACTTCTTGCCCAGGGAAAAGCTAAGGACAGGGGTTGCTGAGATGTGCAGGCCATGCACAAGGCTGAACATGACAAACAGTTAAGTAGGTACAGCATCTGACGAGAGCTGACGTTCACCATTCATGGACAGCCAAAAGAGGAGAGATGATGACCCCTCCTGACAGGGCATCCAGTGGGTAAAGAGAACTTCTGGACCTAAATTCATAGTGATAACAGAAGAAGTGAAGAATGTGCCTTTGCCCTGCTTTTTTCTAAATGAGAAATTAAATGCAATAAATATGTGACCGCCAATAACCTGGGTACTGAGCTCTAGGCTTAGATAAGGAAAAAACAACTACTAATTGAAATGTTTTCCTAATGCCTGGGAATTTCTGTGAGAATGAATTTGCAGGTTCATTACTGTACATCAAGTTGAAATTTAGTAAATGGTATTTCTATTTCCTCCCACTGTAGTTAGTTTTCAAATTAGTATCATTCAACTCCTATAATATTAACATACAGTGTTTATTAACTAGGACATCCCTCAAAACTCAAGCTGAAATATGAAAGGAGTTTAATCTTTACCCATGAGAATTACAGTTGAACTACCTCTATGCTGGAAGGGCAATCAGCTCAATAAACACCAGTTGTCCAGGAAAGGATTGCAGGAAAAGCACATTTTACAACAGATCACTTATATCACACATTTGGCTCCTTGGAACTAGAGCTTGCTGTTTCAACATGATAAGATAAGGAATCAAAAGATGGGATCATGAAGACTTTGTGGAAAAGAAAGTCTCATTTTAACAACCAGCTGGGTCATTCAATATGTAAAGTATATTAGTAAAAAACAATAGAACTTTGATATGCTTTTTGGTTCTTAAAATGTATCAAAAGGTACCTAAAAAGTGAAATCTGAAGTTATCTGAAAATGAGCAGGTTGCCCCACTGATACGTAAGCATTCTGGTGGTTTCTGCCCATCTCCTGTGTCTGTGATCTGTGAGCACCCTCCTGGGCCACCTCTCATCGCCTTCTCTCCAGGGCCACCTCTCATTGTCCTTGACAACTCGGCTGCCTTGCCTTCTCTCCACCTGTGAACTCTGCACATACACAACTGCACCGAGAGCAACACTCCCTGGGAAACACCCCAGATTTCCCAGCAAACACATCAACTAACTCACTGGATAAAGACTAGCAAAGATGTCTTTTCTGTAGGATTTTTCTTTAAGTATCATTAAACATTAAAAAAAATAATATAAATTAAAAAAAACATTATTCTCCACACAAGATTTAGAAGGCACTGGGACAAGCGTGGGGTTGTTTCTGAACCTCACGCTAAAAAGAGCAGTGACTGCAAAGGAAATGGCTGCCTTTATAAGGAATAATGACAAATGATAATAAAAAGAAATAATGATAATGATAAATGAATGCTAATTGGGACCAATGACTCTGAGGAGCTGCCACATGTCAGCAGAAAACTGTGATCCTGTTTCTTCTAATAGTGACTTTGAGAAAATTAATAATTGATTGTTCAGAACTATCTGACAAATGCTGAAGCCAAGTGTTAGTGTTCGTTCAAATGTGAATAATTTGGGGACAGGAGAAGAGCTACGCTATTTGAAAATTTATATTTAAATTTAGAAGCTTTCTAAAATAAAAAATATTTTCAATTTCTGGATTAGAAATTCCTAAATTCTACAAAAATTAGTATTATCTCTGTTAAAAAAATTAGCTTATAGAAGACTAGTAGATCTAAATATCATAAAATATACAGACACAAGACAGACTCATTTCTAGGACTATTATATATCTATTTTTGTATCTATCTTTGTTTTGCTGTTTTCTTTAATTTCTACTTTTAGCAAATATTATCTTGCTGTATTTCATATATCCTTATAAACTACATTAAAATATCGCTTTTTAAAAGGAAGAGAGAATAAAACTAGAATAAGCGTACTAATATATTTGTGGCCAAAAGGGTTCAAATTAAATACAAAAAGGCATTTTCAGTTACAGAGACATTTAAAAGGTGTTTTCTGGAAGTGGGAGGCTAGGCTTAGGTACAGTTCAGTAAGAAGATCTTTGAAGCATTTTCTCAAAACTACACCAAATATATTTGCTTGTTTACCAAACTACATGCATATTGTGTTTCTTAGTCAACACAAGGATTATAATGAAGAGCAACCGGGGATGAGACTGACATAGTTTAATGCAATTGAACCATATAAATCTCTATTCCTACTGATCAATTTCAAAGGCATTTTGCAAAAACAGGACCACTGCCTATAAGGTAGAGGTAAAGCTGTATTTTCATCACATCATGGCCCCGCCATCTACTCACCATGCGTGCCCGAAATAATGCGGGGATAAAGGACTGGTTAGATAGGTTGAGAATCCTTGAGGAGTCCTTTAGAACGTAGATATTGCCAAAATCAACTTGACTGGGATGAATGTAGATAACTGGGCCTTCTCCGATGCTCTTTAAGTGACATACCTGTGTTCCATGCAAGAGAAAGAACGTGAGAATAGCTGAAAACAGCTGGCCTTTAAAGATCACTTGAAACAGAAGCTTCTGGCCACCTCTTTTATGAAGAGCAGGGGTATAAAAGGGTGCTTATTCTTTATCCCTGTACTTTGTAGTCAGAGTGACCCATAGATGGTCATGATGGTCAGACCCGTGAATCCAGCCTGGAATTCCTCCCCAAGAAGGATGATCGGCTTCCCTGGTTAGCCCAAGCCGTGCACCGAGGGGAAACCAGAATAATGGTCCTCTGCAGGCCTGTCAGCACTGCAGCCTCGAGAACACTTAGAGTGGGGTTAAGGACTGACACTTCAGAGTCAGAAGTGGCTGGATGGAGTCCCCGTTCTGTTGTTTACTAGTGGCACAACAGGACTGCCTATTGCATGCAGCTGTGCAGGCTGGGGACTGAAATCCACCTTGCTCTGCTCCCCCAGCTCTGTGCCTTCATTCAGGCATTGTGTCTGCCTGAGGAAGGGGGGCTTTCTTCTTTCCTAAAGTGCCACCTGCTCAGCAAGCAACCTTCTCATGGGCTGTATCCGTGCAGGCACGTGACTGGACTGGTGGCACCTTTTGGGTTGGCCGGACTCTGTGATGCTGCTTTCAAAGTCAGATGGCTTATCTATGGCATCTTACATGGAAGAGAAAAAATATATTCTACTCTCTCTGAGCACTCAGAATCCCTTCAAACAAAAATACACCCATATCACCCAGCTCCCAAATAAACCAAATGTCTATGGATTCATTGCCTGTTGGGCAACTTCCTTCGAGATTCAAGATTCATCCTTTGATTCTGCTCAGGCAGCAGATAGCTTTCCATGCCTCCCTCTTCCCACACTTGGAGAGAGGTTACTTCTCACAGCTTCAGTAGGTTAATTTGGACTATGAGTTCAGTCAATATACAGGAAAAGATCCAGTGAGCAGTGACTGAAACCACTCTCAGAGCCCACATGCAGGAAGTGAGTGATAGTCAGCTTTGTACCAAGAACAATTGAGAAGGATGTTAAGCACCCAGATGTGCTCTCCCCTCAGAGACTGTGATTTGATAGGATTGGAGGGGGGCCAGGCATGTCTGTGTGTGTGAGAAACTCCTGATAGGAGTTTAAGAACAAGTGCTATTGACAAGAAAATGCCATACACACACACACACACACACACACACACACTTACACACGATATTATTCAGCCATAAAAAAGAATGAAATATTGCCATTTGTGACAAAATGGATGGATTTAGAGAGTATAAACCTAAGCAAAATAAGTTAGGGAGAGAAAGACAAATACTATATGATTTCACTCATATGTGGATTTAAGAAATAATAAAAAACAAAGAGAAAGAAAGAGACAAACCAAAAAAACAGACTCTTAACTATAGAGAACAAGCAGATGGTTACTGGTGGAAGAGTGGGGGGATGGTGAAATAGGTGAAAGGATTAAGAGTGCACTTATCATGATGAGCATGGAGTAATATATAGATTTGTTGAATCACTATACTGTACACCTGAAATTTGTATGTTAACTATACAGTATGTATAGTACAGTATGTTAACTATACTGGAATTAAAAATTTTTTAAATGAAAAAATTTTTGGGGCGCCTGGGTGGCTCAGTAGGTTGAGCGTCTGACTTCGGCTCAGGTCATGGTCTCACAGTTCGTGGGTTCGAGCCCCACATCGGGCTCTGTGCTGACTGCCAGCTCAGAGCCTGGAGCCGGTTTCAGATTCTGTATCTCCCTCTCTCTCTGACCCTCCCCGCTCATGCTGTCTCTCTCTCTTTCTCAGAAGTAAATAAAACATTAAAAAATTTTTTAATGAAAAAATTTTTAAGTAAGTTTTTAAAAAATTTTTTAAATAAAAGTTTTTTAAATTGAAAACAGAAAGAATAACTTGTAAAAATTAAAAAATAAATAAAATAGAATAAAGAAGAAAATTAAAAAGAACAAATGCTATAAAACAGTACTACTTTTCAATGGATCTGAAGATAGATTCCCAAAGTAACACAGGACTAGTATTTTGCCTACAGAGTGAAATGTACAACTCTAGAAACAATTGCAAGAAAGCAGAGGACATGCAGATATGGAATATGCAAGACATACAGCAATTTTAACTTTAATTCTGAAAACTGGCTCTCACCATAGGGGGGTCCGGGCTCCCAAAGGTTGAGATGTAAACTATGGACCTATATTCCCCAGTGACCTGTGTCTCCAGGGCCAGAGGTATGTGGACGGTGCTATGGGGGGGGATGACTCCACAGGGTGTGGGACTGGAGAGTAACACGGCAGGCATGTCTTCATGTACCTGGTGGGAGAGACAAGCTGGATGGATAAGCAAGCCCCTGACAAGGTATGAAATAAATAGCATATTAGATTATTTTGAAACAAGTGTTGCCCTAAGGCCTTGTAGGTTCTTTAGGAGTATGTCATTATTAAGACAAGTAAATGGGGATGAGCACCTCAATTCTGCTAAAGGGAAGCAGGGTGTGTAGAAGGTCCCAATCCAAAGTGCACAACCCAGCGAGATGCAGAAATTATCCACAATGTGAATTAGTTCATGGGAACTGCTCCCCATGGCCAAATTCCTTCACCTGGCCCTCCATGTCCTCCACCACCTCTTCCCTTTGCACTTTGTCAACAGAGGCCATTGGTTTTTCCTGAATACATGATACTGCTTCCTACTTCCAACACTCTGCACTTATATTACTCTTCCTGGAATGCCCTCTCCCTTCAATGGACCTGCACATTTATCCTGAATGCCCACAGGTATCCCTGTACCCTAGAGTAAGGGCTTTTCCTCTGTCCCCAGGGGGCATCCTACAGTCCTTTTCCACAGCCTGTACCATCTGTGTCGATCTGTTCCATGGGCTGTCAACTTCCTAGGGTGTTTTCTGGGCTTCTCTTGGCCCAATTCCTGGCCCAAAGCATGTGCTCAGTACATGTTTTTTAAATGGCAAAATAGGTAGGTGAATAAATGAATGCTATCCAGTGTTTACCAATGTATGCCCTTGAGAACCCTACTCTGCAGCATATTACTAGCTTTTATCCAACAGAAACAAATAAAACTTTAGCTAGATGGGGGCGCCTGAGTGGCTCAATCGGTTGGACATCTGACTCTTGATTTTGGCACAGGTCATATTCCAGGGTTGTGGGATCAAGCCCCACATTGGGCCCCTCGCTGAGCACAGAGCCTAGTTTGGGATTCTCTCTTTCTCTCTGCCCTTCCCCTCATCTCTAAAATTAAAAAAAAAAAAAACATAAAAATGAACAAAATCCAAAACTTTAGCTAGATGGGTGATGGGTATTAAAGAGGGCACTTGTTTGTTGTGATGAGCACTGGGTGTTGTATGTAAGTGGTGAATCACTGAATTCTACTCCTGAAACCAATACTGCACTGCAAGTTAACTAACTACAATTTAAAAAACAAACTCCAAAGGAACCTGGGTGGCTCAGTCGGTTAAGCGATCAACTCTTAATTTCGGTTCAGGTCATGAATTTACAGTCTGTGAGATTAAGCCCCACATCTGTCTCTGTGCTGGCAGTGAGAATCCTGCTTGGGATTCTCTCTCTTTGTCCATCCCCCGCTCACATGCTTGGCACTCTCTCTCAAAAATAAATAAATAAACATTTTAAAAAAATCTTTAAAAAATCTCATGGCCAAATAAGTTTGGGTAATTCTGGGAAACCTTAGCTGTTGGAGAAAGACAGAACATACAGATTTCACCTGTCGAGGTACCCCCATGGTCTTTGTACACCTCTACGCTGGCCTAACATGGCCTAATCTAACTCATCCTGCCTATGTAGCAATGCTCTGCCCAACCTTACTGGAGCCTGAAGCAAAGGGAAAATCAGCCAATTCTGCCTTAATCTAATATTTTGATATTTTATTATGAACTATTTTGCATTAATTTTGCTTTCTTAAAATGTGACATGAAAATATTATTTCTCTTGATTCCTGAGTTTTTTGGCTCCCCTCCCCACCAAATTCTGTGATCATGTCAAGGGCCTCACCCTTTCCCAGCCTGCCTGTGCAGAAAAAGTTTCCTCACCCCATATGTAAGCTGTGTTCTGAGTTCTTGAGATGATTGTGCCCTATTCAAGGCTAGCCTATTCCACTACTGATCGCCTAAAAGTTAGAAAAGTTGTCTCCCATCAACCCAACCCTTGGCTTCTGGTTTTGTCTCAGAGAAGCCCATATAACAGTTCTAATTTCCTCTATTGTATAACAGCCTAGGAAAGATGGCTATTTCATCCTAGTTAAGGTTTTTCTGTTCCTAAACAAACACTGTGCTCCTCATATAACCTGGATTTCCAGATGATGTTGATTGCCATTCTGGTTACTTCACATGTGATTTTTTTCTGATGTTTCCACTAAAAAAATACAATGTCAATATCAGGAGACAAAACCTGGCACTGCCTTGACCAGTAGCTATCTCCTTTCTTTAGCTGATCACTGTGTTTCTCTGATATAGCCTAACTCACCTTGGTTCGGTGGCCTCCATACTGGTCTTTGAACACATTTTGAAACTGTAGCCAAATAAAACCCCCATCTGATTTGTTTTTGGGTTTGTTTTTGTTTTTTTGGCATGAATTTTTATTAGAGTACTGTGTTTACAGAACAATAGAGTTTTAAACCCAAATGCATTCTTGGTAAATTGCCTCCTGTTAGTGACCTTCCATTACTTTGGTCTATGCAGATCTTTTGGAGTCTTTAATCCATATGTGCTTAATTGCTCAGTGCCCCACCTAGCTGGGTGTAATGGCATGTGGACAGATCCATGTCATAAAACATTAGAAGGCAATTTCATTTTATTTCTTTTTGTAGTACCTCTAGCCTTCTGTTCAACAAGTCCATTTAAAAATACTGTGTCTTAGTGTTGCTTTTAAAGTCACAGCCATAGCCATAAATGAAAACTCCTAGCTCTGCCTCATTTTCCATGAATGATTAATTCATAGGCAATTATTTGTAGGTGTAACTCCTGCATGTTGGCTTAATTGACCCTTGCCTTTCTTTATCAAAGGCAATTTCCCTGGGAAATTAAGAACTGTTTACACCTGCAGCTGCTCAATCATGCAGGTGGCAATCCAGCTGTTGCTTTACGACCCCATGCACAGATTATCTCAGGGTTCAAAATCAGAATTTCAGAAGGTTATGCATTCAGGAATATGGCTCTTTTGAAGTATTTATTTTTCTCATTGAGGGAATCCAACTGAAGAAAAATCAACACTGAAAAAGGATAAAGTAAGTCACCTGGGGCAGGACCTCATAGCATCCTGGGAGGTCATCATGATTGACAAGCTGGACTGTTTTCTCATAGGGGTACTTCAGGAAACAGCGCCCAAAGTCCACCTCTGTGTTCACCATGTGGAGGGTAGGTACAATACACCTGCTCAAAGGAAAGAGCCCATTAAAGAATTCAAAAGGATAGAGAGCTTATTTACATATGGAGAATGCAGAGTTCCAAGGTAAACACACTTGTCAATGTCACATAGTTTTTCTCTAATAACTACATTAATGATTTTTAAATCTCTCCTGTCATTCCTATCCCTTAGCCCCCAGCCACCACTGTTTAATCAAGAAAGGGCTAGAAGCAAGACTCCTTAAACAGCGGTCTGACATGGGTAATGACTAACATTACCATTGTTTTTCATATTCAGTCTTCTTGTGCCAAGGGCCCCCCACAGTGTAAGTTCCTTAGGGTAGTGGATCTGTTTCCAAGGCAAACAGGGCCAATGCTACCAGCATGGGGTCCTAACTAGCTGTGACACTCTGGACCAGTCAGAGTCCCCTGAGGATGAGCTACAGTTTGCACCATGTAAATTATGGTAATAATTCTAATTCCTATGCAGAACAGCTGTCTTGGATCAGGAGGCTCAGGCAGCTGTTCCACCCAGAAATGGCACTGTGACAGTGGGGCTCAGGGCGAAGGTGGGTGTGGTGGGGGAGGGGAGGGATAGTGGGGTGCAGGGAAGAGGGAGTTGAAGCCCTGTGTGAGCAGCTGGTCTATCATGAGGTTACTTGGGTTTCATTTTGTGTCTGCATCTAGAAGTCTGCCCTGCCTCGCTGCACTGTCACAATATAGTGCCGTGGTGAGGAGCACTGACGTCTGAATCAGAGCCAGGCTCAAAGAGTGACCTTAACAAATACAACCTTGAGCAACTTGCTTTCTCTCCTGGAGTCGCATTTTGCTCATAGGTAAAATGAAGGTAATTCTAGGGATTGACATTAGCATAATTAACTCAGAGTGTTGTGGGAAATACAGAAGCTAATGTGAATGAAGAGCACAGCACAGTGCCTACTGCACTGAGCAAGAGCTCAGTACGAGATGATTAACCTGTGGTAGAGGGCACAGCCAGCTGTCATTGCTGGCTCTCCGCAAGTTCTGAAAGCAATTCTTTTGTTCAGGGTCTTCAAGCAGTTCCTACTGATTACACCAAAAATAATGACATGAAAGTGAGACTTGTTAACCTAAAGTCTGAGGTTTAGCATGGGATGAGTGTTCATTTTTAGCTAGAATGGAAGCTGTTAGTTGACCCGATGACTTTCACAAAGCTAATCCTTCACTACCAGAAACACTGTGGCTGACAGGACTTCTAGTATTTGACTTGGGTCACAGAGTACACATCATAGGAAACTCATAGCCTCTTAGGACCCTGTTTTTGTTTTTCTTTAACTCAGGGTTTCCCACTGACAGCTGCAGGGAAAGGGGGCTGAAAGGGGGAAAGTATCAGAGTCAACCCACCCAGAAAAGAAATGCAAGACTAGACAAAAAAGGTAAACCTGAGTATAGAAAGGATCAGATGAATGAGCTTTTGCTGTTTTTAAACAAACAAAACAATTAGTTAGGTCTTTGGAAGGACTAAGCAGACCATGGCAAGGCCTTGACCTTCAAGTTCTTTCCAATATATCTTCCAAAATTCATGAGGCCTAAACTCTAGGGATGGATATGTTATCAAGGTTTTATTAAGTAATTTTCTCTATTTCATTTAGATGGCATTTTCATACACACCTTCTAAAGTCACAGATCTGGACATGTGCTTGCTTTGGCAAGAGTGTGGCCCATGATTTTACTTATTTACTCAGGATCCCTGTAATCATCAGTGTCACACTCCACTCTTGGGAAGATCCCAACTTGGTCATGGAGAAACAATTAACCAATGGCAGAGCCAGGATTTTAACCTAACCTGAGAGTCCACCACTCCCTCTATTAAAATAGAGAGAAGATGAGGATGGGTCTGAGGAGTTTATGTTGTTAGAGAGCCTCATTTGGAAGGCCTGTTTGCAGCCTGCATTGAAGTCATAGTAAGTGTCCTGGAGCGGTACTGTCTTGCTAAAGGGACCTTCCACTGCAGGCCTGTGAGCACCGCTCTTTCTGGGAATAACCCCAGAGTACTGTATTTAAAGATAAAAATTTAAAAAACAGCAACTGATGGGGGTGCCTGGGTGGCTGAGTCCTTTAAGCGTCCAACTTCGACTTAGGTCGCGATCTCACGGTTCATGGGTTCGAGCCCTGCATTGGGCTCTGTGCTGACAGCTAAGAGCCTGGAGCCTGCTTCTGATTCTGTGTCTCCCTCTCTCTGCTCCTCCCCTGCTCATGCTCTACCTCTCTCTCCTAAAAAAAAAAAAATTAAAAAAATTTTTTTAAATTTTTTTGATGTTTTTAATTTATTTCTGAGAGAGAGAGAGACAGACAGACAGACAGCATTAACAGGGGAGGGTCAGAGAGAGAGGGAGACGCAGAATCTGAAACAGGCTCCAGGCTCTGAGCTAGACGTTTGCACAGAGCCCGACGCGGGACTCGAACCCATGAACCGTGAGATCATGACCTGAGCCAAAGTCGGACGCTTAACTGACTCAGCCACCCAGGCCCCCCTAAAAATGTTTAAAGAAAAACAGCAACTGTTCGCCTTTTTCTAGTAAAACCTTTTTAGTTACATACTTGGAAAAGTCAGACCATTAGAGAGTACCATTACTCTTAACACTGCAAAACACACACACACACACACACACACACACACACACACACAAACACATCCCTTCTCTCATCTCCACCAAAAGTGCGGTTGCTATTTTAAAGCTCTGTCATTTGAATATGAGATTCAGTATCAGATTTGCCTTCCTAGAAAAGCAGAACAAATGCAGTGAGAACTGGCTGCAGGCCCTCACCCTCTGGGAGAGGCGGCCCATTGCTGGAGGCTCAGGGGAGACGCAGGAAGAGAGAAAGCAGGGGGGTGTGATACCTGGCTGTGATTAGGAGAGCCAGCACTTCTTCCCCGACGCCCTCCACGTCCACCACCAGGGCCAGCTCATATTTCTGCACAGTGTTGGAGCATAAGGTCACCTGGAAAGATAAAGGTGAAAAGCTGCTCTTCCACAAGGCCGGGCCTCCCTCTGTGCAGGGGAGAAAGGAGCCAGAGGAGGAGGGCACTGATGAGGATGGCTTCTGAGTACTTTTTTATGGGCTGTTTGGCGGTTTACATTTTTAGTTGAACAAGCTACATTTTGGGGTCAGGGCATGCTGAGTTTTTTCAAAGGTGAGGTTAGAAACCAAATGGTTTTTAGTACAATAGGTTTGCTCATTTTTGAGAAGACTTTATCAAAGAAGTCATATCCCTGCATAAGGGGAAAAAAATGACCCTGAAGGATGAACCATATCAAACAAACTTTCATTACTCAATTTAAATTGTTCTCTATGTCTTCAGGCTATAGAAATTATGAAAATTCAATACACCAATAAAACACTACAGCTAAGTTTCTCTTACAGCAAACTAAATGAACATAAAACCATATCAGTTTCAGAAAACGGCCTAAGAAATCAACTAGACAGTCTTTTTTAAAAAAAGAATCAAAATCTTGTCTCCCCACTGTCCACCATATTCATTATTAGAGCAGAAAGTAGGAAGCTCCAAAGAAAGGTCTATTCAAGGACAATATGTGCCCAGTATATTTTATCCTCTGATTTTTATTTATTATTGTGAAATTTTACATTTAGCTGTTGAGGTCCTGTCACAATTTTTAATTGCTTAAAAATGATTTGTAGGGGGAGAGATAAACTCGTTAAGTTTAGAGAACAGCTTCTGGCACAGGTTAAAGCTTTTCCATACATCAATTATGTATGAAGGACTAATTAAACAACTTTTTTTTGGTTGCAAAGGGAATCACTGGATGCAAATTTGAGTCCACATAGACATGGTTGAAGTAGTTCAGGAGTGAAAATTGAAGCCCAGAGAAAGCTTTTCCAAATCTAAAGGGAAAATAAAGTGAAGGTGGAGCCATTGATTTGGAAGGAAAATTTGTTAGATCTGGAGAGAAGCAGCTGACCCAGCGTGCAGAGGTTCCTGGGGTGACTAACCCCTGTTCCTGTCCCTGAGCTCTGGTTAGAAGGCAGAGCAAGTGGCTCTCACAGAAGGCAGCTAGGCAGGTGCTATGTCTTCTCAAACCTTCCTATACGATGTGCGAGAAGCAAAAAGGAAAGGTAGGTGACGTGTAGGCTGAGCATGAAGTAAAAAATAAATTCTTTGCAACAGCACTTCTTCCCGGGAAAGTCACAGTTACCAACTGCTATGATCTGAATGGTTGTGCCCCACCCCCCAAATTCATATGCTGAAATCCTAACCCCCAATGTGGTGGTGATTAGGAGGTGGGGCTGCTGGGGGTGATTAGGTCAGGAGGGTGGAGCCCTCATGAACAGGATTAGTACCCTAAAGAAAAAGACCCCACAGCTCCTCCCTGCACACATGTGAGGACACAAGTCAGCAGTCTGCCCCTCACCAGAACCCTACCATCTGTCACCCTGATCTTAGACTTCCAGCCTCCAAACTGTGAGGAATAAATTTCTGTTGTTTATAAACCACCCAGTCTTAAGTGTTTGGGTTTCTTTTAAAGCCTTTTTTTTTTTTAAAGTAGGCTCCACGCCCAGCATGGAGCCCAGTGCAGGGCTTGAACTCAATGATCCTGAGCTCAAGACCTGAACCAAGATCAAGAGCAGAACACTTAACCCACAGAGCCACCCAGGTGTCCCTTGAGAATTTGTAATAGCAGCCCAACCAGACAAGCCTGCAAACCTGAGAAGTTACAATGATATATGATATAAACCTCATCCAGCCCATGGAGAAGCTCTTGGGAGAGCCAAAGACTCCCAGAAAAGATTTAGGATGAGCAGCTTCATGGTGAGATATTATTAAACATTTAAAACAAATGTGGGGCCTAAAACCATAGCTGAATTAAATATTCAAAGGTAATAACTAAAGAGAAAATTACCAACCTTAGCTATGGAAGTCTTTTCTTTTTTCTTTCCCAGAAAAAATAAAATTATTTCAACTTAGCAGCCTTTGGTAATGCTAGACCTAACTATTTGGAGAAGCAAAAGTAAGTGAAAGAAGACAGTAAAACCTTTCTCAGTGAGCTGTGAAAGAATTCTGCTGGTGGCTCTTCTAGGCTGTGCCCAGAGCATCACTCCATGGGCCTAATTATAAAGTACTGTTAGGAACATCACACCTACATTCACCATGAAGCCCAGATTTGTATTACAAATCTGAATAAACTGGATATGATCAGTGGCACAAATCTGGACATTTATTGGTAAAAACAATTAGATTCTGAAGGAAAAGAGCACCTAATTATCGGTGAGTTCTTAAATCTTTTTAGGTCTGTACCAATGAGTGTACTATCTCCGTGGAGCAGTGGTTTCACTAGAAATCACTAGAATCCACAGTTCTGGTGAAGGTAATGCCTCTGGATTGATGGAAATTCATGGGAGCAGTGTCAGTCCTTGTGCCCAATATATGTGTATCTAGTTTCTTTTGCTTCATGGTTTATTTCCTTATATGCCCACTTTTCCATGTGAATTAGAGGCACTCCCTCCCACTGACAGTGGACGTATAAAACAAACCCTAGCTGCAATCCTGGTAACTATTTGAGAGTGTGGCTGCCTGGCTATACATGCTGGGAGGTTGTGCACTTTACCCTGATAGCAGCAAATCCTTGGGAGCGAATGGTGCCACTGCTGGGAGTGATGGTGAATTCTTTTGGTTTCATTATGGGTCTTTCATCCTTGTTCCAAAATGGTCTTTTGTTGTCTGAATACTGCTCACAACTTGAAATGCTTTTATGGCCATCGCCATCCCCAGGGACACGCAGTTTGAAGGTCATGGGGACCAAGGAGGTATTATTGAGGGAACATATCAATGTATGAGGGAAACCTGGAAAACAAAATGTGAGGTGAGATATAAAAGCCCCACTATAGCCTCCCTTCAACCTTTGCTAGCATTAAATGAACTGTCTGTGCAATTCATCACCACTTGCTTAACTCCACCTCTCCCTGATAGTTTCCTCAATTGTATAATCAATGAATGCATTTCTTTCATTCATTCATTCACTCAGTCAGTCAGTAAATACTCTTATACACTTACTATGTAGCAACTATAGACATAAATCCCTGATGTTCATCCAAGTCCCTCTCAAGAAGCAGCCTCTATTATCTGTTTGGTGAATAGTCCTCCAGAAGTATATTTTGCATTTAATTTTTACACAGAATACAGATTTAAGAAAAATTGAATCATGTTTGCTCTTTTCATCTGCCAATGTGTGAAAGGAGAAGCCTGTGTGGTTTTCCCTGTTGTGTGACCCAGAGCCTGCCAAGATATTATAGAACTCCTACTGGACCTGTCTGAGGCCTGTGCTCTCAGGGTCGATGACACAAAATCAAATAATAGCATCTCCTGAGATAGACTTTACAACCTCCTTTTGAGCCATCCAGAGACTAACACACTGGCTTTTACCTCCCTTAGACAGAGCTACTTTTTCACATTAAATCGAGCCTTCCAACATTCAGTTTGGCAAGCCTCCTGGCCTTTTTCTAAGAGATGTGGATCTTCTTTGCCTGGCAAGCAATAAACAGAGCTCTGATTTTGTATTCCCTAGGTGGCTACTCTATCTGATACCACATTCAGCACAAGAGGAGAACGAATATGCATATTTCTATGGGATGCGAACACTCTACCTCAAGCCCTACTGCAATAAAACACAATTGGTCTCTGGAGTAGTTACTACATTACTGCAGGGGATATTTTGGACTGATCTACTTATCTCCTCATTTCTAGGCCTTTGTCTACACATTAGGACTGTTGGAGGAAACAGATTTATGTCTCCTTTGTGATACCACCTGCCAATCTTCTTGGAAGAGATCTGTTATGGAAAAAGAATTGACTGCTTAAATGTGCCTGAAGGACTTTCTTGGAAATTCCAGAGGAGCTGCTAGAAAGTCCATTTAACAATCATGTATTGCTGTATTCAGCTTTCCAGAACTTTCCCAGCAAAGACTCTTAAAACTGTAGATCCCTCACCCTTGTTTATTTTTACTTGACCATTTATGGCATCGGTACTCTCCTAATGTATAGGGTACTCTAGAAATGGTTTGCATAAAGATTCAGAGGGGTCCTTCCAAACCATTGCTCAGACTATTTCCCTGCAGCTAGGTTTTCTGAGAATAAAGCCAATCATAATCCCCTACGTAGAACAATTCCTTGTACAATGACCTGTAAACCCCATATAGCTTATTAAAAAGCCTAAAGAAAAAGGTATTATTTTGTTAAAGACTGAAGGGTCATTAAATAATACAAGTGTTACTCCTAGCTTCTGCTTGCACCAAATCCTAATGCTGCTGGGTTTAGGCTTCCCTCATGCTTTCAATGATCTCTTCTGCTAACCTTTCTGAGATCTTTCTATAATCATTGTAATTAAGATTATAAGGGACAGGGGCGCTTGGGTGGCTTAGTCGGTTGAGCGTCCGACTTTCGCTTAGGTCATGATCTCGCAGTTCGTGGGTTCGAGCCCCGTGTCGGGCTCTGTGCTGACTGCCAGCTCAGAGCCTGGAGCCTATTTCAGAGTCTGTGACTCCCTCTCTCTCTGACCCTCCCCTGCTCACGCTGTCTCTCTCTCTCTCTCCTAGAAATAAATAAAAATATTTTAAAAAAAAAGATTATAAGGGACTGGGGGCACCTTGGTGGCTCAGTCAGTTAAGCATTCACCTCTTGACTTTGGCTCAGGCCATGATCTCATGATTCATGAGATTGAGCCCTGCATCAGGCTCTGAGCTGATAGTGAGGATCCTGACTGAGATTCTGTCTCCCTTTCACTCTGGCCTTGTGCTTGCTCTCTCTCTCTTTCTCTCTCTCTCTCTCAAAATAAATACAAATAAACTTGAAAAAAAGATTGTAAGGGACAATTATAATTAATTGTCCCTGGATCCCCACTTTACAACGTCCTAAAGTCAATTTAAATATTTCTTCTTCTTCTTTTTTTTTTTT